TAGCTATCTAATATGGCCGGACCGTACCTCGCCTACTCCATACGAGTCTAGGGAGCCGCCTACGCCTACTCCCTAACCTAACCTAACCATATCAAATAGTTACCAGGTACGTTCCGGTATACCGGACCGTACACAGGTACGTTCCGGCAGTACCCTGGGGACATAGACCCTATGAGCGTTATTATTTGTGGCTGGCTACCTACTGATTCAGCTGTTGGCCCACTATCATTGATAATAATGTCAATATCATGTTTATAAATCTACTGATATTTTTCTGCTAAAAGTAAAACTAAAAGGTGGTGGTATGCTTACGTAGCTTAGGTGTAGGGTTGTTAGGGTTTCACTAGTTATTAGCTAAACTATTACTATTAGCAATTAACTGGATCTACCGATCGTGATTTTACTCTAACCGATTGTGCCGTGATCATTGCAGGTTGTGTGTGTGGTAAGGTGATGAGGGTTGTAACAGAGATCGATCCGACTGTAGTCAGGCAGTACATCAGAGATGTAGGTAACAGTCGTTGTGAAACATTCAAACTGTATCATTAAGGATTGATTGCATCTATCCTGCCCAGATTTTTGCATTTTTACTGCGATTTCCCTATCATTTGATGTTTCAATTCAGCTCCTTAGTTCTATGATACTCACCTGTTCTCATCGTAATGACATTGTACACAAGTCATCTCGTGGCGTAGCTGCTCGTTGTAAATCAGCTTTCTCCCGCCGGCAGTGTTCTATCCGAGTGTTAACAGGCATGCGCCACCTGGGCGAGGCATGTCTCCCTCAACCCACGGCGACCTTCGTTTGCTTTTCACAATCACAGAAACTCAAGCTGAGGCAACAACGAGGGTGATGCTGAATGTGCGGAAAGTCGTTCTATTCCGGCATTCATCTCGACCAGCACATGCAAACCGACCACACGACACAGCAATAGTACGCGCCACAGACAGCCGCAAGTGGCCTGCAAATCACATACATTAAGGGCGACACCTCTCTTCCTTAGCTCTCCTTAGTTAGTGCTCATAATTTTACAAACTTTCGTGTCATTTGTTACAGGGTCAGTACAGGGGGGCCTTCATGTTTTACATGTCGTGTGGCAATGTGGTGGCCAAACGTTATGGCCTGGCTATGAAGCCAGAATTACTGGAGCAAGCTGAGCTTGAAGTATGAATAGCTAGCAGGTGTAACCTCGTAACTCGTGAATTTATGAATATTAGTCTGCAAAGTCCAAGACTACTGTATACGCTGTATATTCGTGGTGGTTTTAATTTTCGTGAATGTTTCCGCGAACGTGTCCCCGACCGCGAAAATACTACGCGAATCATTCGTACCGAATAATTCATAATCTCGCGCCGACGGCGAAATTGTGCCCGTCAAGTCTGACTTCGCGAAAAGTTGACTGCGATCGAGATATCGAGCACACACGTAATAAATATACATCGTCTGCTTCCAAACAAACATAAACAACCTGGAGTTTGCGACTCCTCGCATGGGGGCATACCTCCCGATCGTCGCCACACGAAAAGAGTCAAATGTTGCAGTTTAAAAAAAAAAAAAATTCGCGAAAACCAAACTGCTCTCAGCCGACAACGAACCGACATGATTGGTGGACTAGGTCCTCCACACCTCGCGCTGCCGCCGAATGCCGGGCAGCCTCCATGCGTCGCCGCGGCAACCGCGAGCACGCACCGCGAGCGGCACGAGAAAACGAAAAACAAATGAACATATTTATTAGGAATGTGCTTGACAACTCGTCCGAGTGCCCCGCCCACCCCCTCCTCCTCCCCCGCAGCAGGAATGAGGAGGAGGGAGGAGACCGACCGTAGGAGAAGCCACCCAGCGAGAGACGAGAGCATTCTGGGAGAGCAACAGCAGCATCGATGATCGGTCCGCGCCACGCGAGTATTGAGCTTCACAGTGCTAACGCCTCACCTCGCTTCACCTCACCTCGCTTCACCTCGCCTCGCTCGACCGACCGACATGATTTTTCTTCGACGACAGGCATTACAGCTTCATCGCTGCGTGGCAGCACACACACTCACTTTACACACACACACACACACACACGCACGCACGCACACGCGCACGCACGCACGCACGCACGCACGCACACACACACGCGTGCCGGCACCGTCTCCGATTCGCGGCGAGATGAGTAAGTTAACGCCGTTCGTCGCGGGTTGGCACGCCCCGCTCTCTGTGCATTCCACGGCGTAAAGCCTGGGACACACCATGCGAATTTATTCTCACGTCCGCACGTCCGCACACACGCGCACGCACGAACGCACGCACGCACGCACGCACGCGCACACGCACGCACGCACGCGTGCCGGCACCGTCTCCGATTGGCGGCGAGATGAGCAAGTTAACGCCGTTCGTCGCGGGTTGACACACCATGCGAATTTATTCGCACGTCCGCACGTCCTCAGCGAAAATATCAAACATGTTTAATCGCTGCGAATTTCGGTGCGGATGAAATTCGCAGCGAAATTCGCCCGCGCTTGAGCGGACACACCATGCGAATTTCGCTGCGATTTTACAATCGCTGCGGACGTGTGAATAAATTCGCATGGTGTGTCCCCGGCTTAATCGCGCACGCGATACAGGAATGCTGACGACCATCGACGCGACCTTCACACGACCTTCATTACTGGCTTTAGCGACACGGCCCGATCTCGTCATATGCATCGTGCAGCGTGGCACCACGCGCGTTTGGCCCCGCGGCGGCGAATTCGCCAAACACTGCTCTCAACCTACGCACCCTCCCTCATGAAAGCATAACATACAGCTCTCGCGTCCCTCGGAAATATAATAGTTCGTTATTAAATGCAGTTCAAAAATGCATAGCAACACTTCTGGTTACAAACTGTGGTCATGATTTTTCCCCCTCTCTCCGCACAACACAAAGGTTTGGTCAACGAAATGCCTCCAATCAAGAGTCACACGAGTCATATGTCTTTACAATAGTAGACTGTACAACAGCAGAATATACTATGACAGCTATTGGGACATTGCTATCGGAACCAGCATGCCTCTGCATATGCAGCGATCCAGTGGACACGATCGCTCAACGGTTACGACCGCCATTAAAACAATTCCGCTCGCCTCAAAACAATCGCCCCCGCGGCACGGAACACCCGGCGCGTGGCAAGACGTGCAAAGTCCATCACAAAAAGTTTTCTGTTCGCGTGGCGCACCCTGGTGCCACGCGCCAAAAACACATCGATCACCGCCGGCAGCAACGTCGTCGGCGAGGCGGTTTCCGTGGCGACGACGATGCAGACGAAGCTCCACGGAACAGTCATCACGCGCGACGTCATCCCGAGAAATAACGAGCGTTAATTAACACGCTCTCGCTCGCATCCCTCAACACTGCGCGTTGCCGTTGGCAACCACGCACCCGCCTCTGCTTCCCTCCCTCCGCATCGCTGCCGACGACGCAAAGCATGCCACGCCCGACAACGGGCGCCTAGCTACACATGTGCAACACATACAATGGTACTTCAACGTTAACGACGACACGCACGCACGCACATACTACGTAGGCTGAGATATTTACATTGTCGAATCTCCGCTCGTTTCGCCGCTGGCTCGGTCTCGGACGATCGTTCCATGATACATGCACCCCCCCCCCCCCCCCCCATCATCATCGCGATACCGTCTTTCTCTCTCTCCTGCCTTCGTTATGTTTTTCTAAAAATTACATGCCTTGGAAAAGGTACAAAACGTGTGGAATGTCGAATTCCAATCATCGCGGGTTCGCGGCTAGGGCAGGCCGCCTAGTATTGGGCGGGACACGGACCGCTGGCGTGGCAAGGCACTCGCTGGTACGAAAAATACGTCTCACCTAAATAGAATTTATCAATGTCCCGAGCGGCAGCACTTATAAACACTGCGCGGCGATGCTCGGACAGCGGCTGGGTGGCGCCCTCTGTCTATGCCGCCCTGCCCCGCCGCTCAAGACCGTGTGTCGCAAAAAATCTCGAATCGCGCGTCGTCGCGACGCCACAAGCAAAACGACGCGGGCCACGCCCGTCGTTATTGTAATTAATTAATTAATTAATTAATTAATTAATTAATCGTGGCAACGCGCTCTACGACGCTACTATCATACATCACAACAGTTTTTCAATTTGGTGTGTGGACTCATCATGATTATACGACATGTTAACAACAACGCCACCTGGCGGAACAACCACGCGAGTACGCCACGCCACCTGGCGGCACAACTACGCGAGTACGCCACGCCACCTGGCAGCACAACTACGCGAGTACGACACGCCACCTGGCGGCACGCGCGCCGACTCTAACACATGCTACAGGCACTAGTCTGCCACCTCCCCCTCCTCCATCGCCGCGGCAACCGCCGCCCCCTCCTCCGCCTCCTCATTCCCCGTCTTCTTCACGGCCACCTCCACCGGCTCTCTCTTCTCCTGCTTCGCTGCCGCCGCCGCCGCCGGCAGCGCCTCCTGGCGGGCGAGCTCGGCGCGCCGCTTCTTCCGCCGCCGCCGCTCCTCCTTCGACTCTCGCGACGACGACGTCGACAGATTCACCGGCGCCCCGGCGGCGCCCCCTTCGTCGTACGCGAGCCGCGCCGAGTCCTTCTCGCGACGCCACGCCTCGGCCGCCTCGCTCTCGCGCCGCGCCGCGGTGGCGCCCTCCACGCCCGCGTCGGCCGCCGCGGCCGTGCTGAGCAGCGACGCGAACGACGTCGGCATGTTGGAGGGAAGCGAGAATCCGCCGAGGCTCTGAGCGAACAGCGGGTTCATGAGCATGCCCGGAGACGGGAAGATCATCGGGATCGAGGTTGCCGCTCCGGTGGCGCCCCCCCCGCCGCCGTCCTCGCCGCCGTCCTTCCCCGTGAAGCCGTAGTTGGCGGCCAGGTAGGGGTTCGCGAGGCCAAGGTAGGGCGGCAGCGCGAGGCCCGGGTACGCCGACATCAGAGAGGAAAGCGCCGCAAAGTTGCTCGACGGCGGGAAGATGCTGTTCTCTGCTGCCGCTGCTGCCGCCGTGGTCGCCGTGGCAACGCCGCCGCCGCCGCGCTTGCGCCGGGAAGACTGGATGCGCGACTTGAGTGTGTCGGGTAGGTAGCCCTGTAACGAGAGTGTGAGCGTCGGACACGGATTCTTACACTCTGAACTAGAATATACGGACAAAACACGAACTAATCACGGAAATGACGCAAAACGCCTGCAGCTCTCCATGCGTTTCTCACCATTTCCGTGATTAGTCCGTGTTTTGTACGTATAATCTAGCTCACAGTCTTAATCCTCAAATATAAAACTCTAATCACACAAGAATTGATATGTTATATATGTTATTGATATAATTGAACAAAAATAAAAAAGTAAATAAACAAACAAATAAAAATAAAAAATAAATAAATAAGTAAAAAAACAAGTAAGTAAGTAAGTATAAGTAGTAAGTAATATGTATGTAGTAAATCTAGTTAGTTCAGGTGATTCAGTAAAAGTGAATCAGCATGAGGTGCGGCCCTAGCGATTGAACAGAATACATAATCCTCGAATATATAATTCTAATCGGTAGGTAGGTAGCCCTGTAAGGAGCACGCACGCGGTGATGCGTCAGACATGGATTCAACGAAATTCTTATTCCTCGAATATGAAATTCTATTTCAATTTGAATCAGCACACGATGCAGCTCTAGCCATTAAACAGAATTCATAATCTTCGAATGTAAAATTCTAATCATGTCAATCCAAGTAATTGAAACAGCATGAGACGCGGCCAGAGCGATTAAGCAGAATTTATAATCCTCGAATATAAAATTCTAATCAATCTAATTTGTTTAAAATCGATCACTCGTAATAGAGATAAGGTTGATGGCTGCGGATGTTAGTGGTTCTGATGCAGCCGGCTGAAAGGTGCGATAGGATATGTTTACTAGGCACTTCTAATTTTAACATATATTTTACGATATATTAAAGAATGATGCAAAACCCTAAAAAGTGCCCTAACCCTAACCCTAACCCTAACCCTAACCCTGACCCTAATTAAATTTAAAATATATGTTAAAATTAGAAGTGCCTAGTAAACATGTCCTATCGCACATTACAGCCGGCTGCGGTTCTGATAGAAGCGATGTTATGAGAAACCGTTACTTACCTTTGCTCTCACGAGATGCCCCCACTTTGACTCGACATCATAGTCCGGATTCTTCTTCAGCCACTCAGCGAGGTGCTTTAGGGGAGGCGCCTTCCTGCCAGTGATCTACATAACA